GAAGGGTGGCCCTTAATTTGGAACTTCATAGATTGTATTTCAGCGTAATCCTGATTCAAAATACAAACAAAAAAATTGAGGAAAAAAAAAAAAAAGAGAGTTACAACCCGTAGGTTGGTCGATTATTTTTGTCATGAACTAAAATTTTAATTCCTACTAGGCATCAGAGAGGCTGCCACCGACATGAAAAATAAATACATTTTACAAATCAAGTAATTCATGTACTTTAATGCCTTTGCATTTTTGGACCGTGTATTGAACGGGACAAACACTCAAACACACGTGCAGAAAGTGAGAACACCCACAAGGAGCCACTCTTGACTCGAACGCCTCACTAAGTCACACCCCTTAAAGGCACAATACCAACACAAATACTCCAGTAATTACACTTCATGAAACCATTATGTTTTTATAAAATACAGTGCTATGTTTCTTGAATAGATTTTTTATGGTGGCATTTTGGGAGGGCTAAAATGGATTAACGGCATTTCAATATATATTTTTAAATGGTGAAAATTGATTTGCTGTATTATGGGTGAATTGGTTTATAAGTCCGCTGAGGGAATGAATCAGATATCAAGATACCACTGTCTACAAATGAACCTAAAGAACATGAACCAATAATCAATCCGCATCCAGTGTGACCCATTACAACTGAAAGGCAAGTGTCGGAGGAGCGAGGCTTTGTTGTATTATTTGGTGGCTTTTGTGGCACATATCACCAGTCGAGTCGCTTCTCTCAGCTAAGGTGTCGAGATTTTTGCTCGAGTTGGAAAACCATTTTGTGTTTGTTCTCTTGCATCACTCGGGGAGCCCCCCAAAAATTCAATCAAATCAGTCAAGAGAGAGCCAGAGAGTGACAATATTATCCTAAATGCGCTATTATGGAATGTGGATGTGGAAAACGGCCATTTCCAAGTGTCCGCATGCCTTCGAGTTGATCTAAGCCTGTGAATCCCTGGGCCTGCTGGACCTGTTCTGTGGCGGAGTGACGACAGATGCTCCACGACGGCCCGCACAGATTAAACACGTCTGCTTTAGACCTCCCATGTGGGGATTTTAAGAAAAGAAAAGAAGAAAAAAAAACCCACACACACTTTAATTCGCTAATGACGATTAAGCCTCGCTATAATGGTGAGATTTGCCGTTTTTACGAGCCGTTACACAGATCCGATCGGCTGGATCGGCAGATAGTTTGCATTTCGATGGAAAACAGGTGTAATGTCGTAATTTGCTGAACGATCCAAGACGTCATTGACTTGATGCGCAAAATAAGAGATTACAACAATCACAATCTCATTCATTCCAGGGAGGTTCTGTTCGTTCAATGCCATGGTTAACAATCCAAGGTTTCTCAGCATATACAGTATATTTTTTTTAATCCAATATTTTTGGTGGAGGCGGGATTACCCCCCCCCCCACTTTTTTGTGCATTGTATGTTTATTATTTGTATAGAATTTTTAGAGTTTCATTGTTTTGTTATAATTTCAAAACATTTCTATGGCTGACAATTAGACACAAACTTTGGCGATTTGTGGGCGGGGCCGGTCCCAAATCCCCCACAAATAGCGAGGCGTCGACTGTACTGTTAATAAGCAAGTTTTTCAAATAGAATGGACAGATTAGACCATTTTTTTTTTCACCTAAACTCGGTGATGGGCTCCAAAATCCTAATCGTGTACTTTTTACCTGTTGTGAAAGCGCTATATAAATCAGGATGTATCGTATTGTATTGTAAAATATTGTTCTAAGTTTAGCACATCCATCATCATTTCCGAAAAAGCAACACATGCAACTCACTGGAAATGAAAAACAAATGTGTTACTTTTTAGCCACACATAAATCTGAACTAATGAAAGATACTGTAGTCAAGTATCCCTGTAAAATACAACACGCTGTATATAATGTATATTGTAATATTTGATGGAAAAAGTCATGTCATTCAACATATGCGACACCGTTCACCTGCGAATCAAATTTGGAATCGCGGGAGGATTGTGGCTGCTCACGAAAAACAGTCGCAGATTCTGCTTCAGATTCAGTTCAGTTCAGTTTAGTTGCGTTGGGCGCCATCGCTTGCTGTGCGGCAGGCCTGTAGAGGCGGGATACGTGAATGTCAGGTATTAAACTTCACGATCCTCTCAGGCCGTTACAGGATTCCCTAACACACAGGCAACGTCTCACCTCTGTTACAGCAGCGGTAAAGAACAGCGGGAACGAAACAGGTAGAACAATTCCAGGTGCTGCTGGAAAGGATGTAAAAACGGCGACAGGAATGACATGTATGTCGCCAGTTTGAAATGCACTTTGTTAAAAATGGGTCGGCGCAGCCCAGTTTGGCCACAGGATTATTGGCTCGCAGGTACTTTGTCAAGCGGGCATGACTTGAGTAGCAAATAATTTGGCACACCACTACATAAATACCAAGCCATTCCAGGCCTTCTTTCCTTCAGCTGTGTAATAAAGAGGAAAACAGCATGTGTGTCTTTATTGAAACACAGCCATCCCTTGGGTGTGAGGGACATTTCCTGTGCTGGTTTGAGATTATTTATCACCTTCCAGAACACAACGTTGGATTTGTCTCTGCCGCAGGACGGACATGGACCCTTAAAATAACCTAATTTGTTCGGTTTTAATCAAAAGTTCACACTCAGGGGGCAGTCTGCCCAAGGGGGGCAAGAGGCTGGCTTACCAAAAAAAAAAAAAAAAAAAAGAGAGAGCGCTGTGGTGTGTGTGTGTTTGTGTGTGTGTGTGTGTGTGTGTGTGTGTGTGTGTGTGTGTGTGTGTGTGGGCGGAGGGGGTGGGGGGTGGTTCTGTTTGTGCTGCGTGTGCTAGTGAAAGGCCTGCTGGTAATTTAAACATGACTCAAGACCCTGAGCTGGCCATTTGTGGAGTTGGAGCCCGACAACGAGGCGATCAGACAGGCTTGCCGACGACGGTATTTGGATGTCCTGCATCTAAGGGTTCTTTCATGAAGGCACTCCTCGGCCCCTATTTATGCAGCATGTTAATAGCCTTTTCTGGATTGATGCAGCTCCTCTGGGCAGTTGTGAACATGGTCATCTGGCACGGATCATATCAACTGCCCAAACTCGATTGCAAACGATTTAGGACACACAATCCTATGCACACTAAGTTCAGATATCATATGGATTCGATGGGAACGGGTTGAGTGAAACGGGTCGAGTGAAATGGCAGTATAACAGGCCAAAATCCAGAGAGTAAGGCAGGGTAATAGTTCCATCCTGCGTGTGTAGAAATGAGTGTTAAATTGAAACATTCGCTCTAAGTGGCACTTGAATCGAGAATGCACTCAAACCTGCTGACTTTCTATCAGCTCTCAAAGTCACCACAAGACCAGCATGTTGTTATAGAGGGTGTCCTTCAAGTACGCAACAACTATTTGTGTCACCTTTTCATAAAAAGAAAAGATTTCAGCTTGATCAATCAACTACTGTCCTTTTACGATTTGGATGCATTATTTTGTTCACCGTGGTCCACCGCTTTATCACAGTTCTCTTTTCACAAAAAAATTGACCTATTTGGCTTTTTCCCCCAGAAATGCTCTAAGCCAGGGGTCCCCATCCGCCGGTCCGCGGACCGGTACCGGTCCGCCGGGTATTTGGTACCGGGCCGCACCGAAAGAACTTGCCTTAATTCCGTTTTATTTATTTCGGAAGACGAAAGATGTTTTATTTTGAAAAACTACCGGATTCTCCGTTACATCCGTCTGTGTTTACGCGTGACACACGTCAAGCCCCGCTTCTCCTTCACGTGACCGATTACTTCAAAACAAAACGCCAGAGCAAAATGAGTAAAAAAAACTGCTGGAGATCGCAAATGACGGCGGCCTTAAAAGTACGTTCAAGACAACTGGATTAAAATTATGGCTGAATACTCTGAGATGGCCACAATAGCACTGTTGCTATATCCGACATGCTACCTGTGTGAGGAGGGGGTTTTCTGCAGCAACGGCGACGAAAACAAAATTACGAAGTAGACTGGACATAAACCACACACTTGAGGTGTCATTGTTTCCTATTACCCCGAGATGGGCCGTCTGGTTGCAGAAAATCAAGCTCGGTGCTGTGGTGAGTCGTCATTTTCATGCACTTTGAATTTGCGTTGTATCGTATTTTGAAGGCATTAAACATTGCCATAGCGATCGGAGTGTTGCGGCCAGATTAGACGTTCCTTGTGTTTATTATTATATTTCGTAAACGCCACAGTTTTCATGCAGCTTATACCATATAGTTTTGTTGTATTATTTCCGTCACACCTTAAATGCCGGTCCGTGAAAATATTGTCTGACATAAACCGGTCCGTGGGGCAAAAAAGGTTGGGGGCCCCTGCTCTAAGCTACCTCAAGATGGCACCAAAGCCCTCTCAAATAGTAAAGTAGTAGAGTAATTGCTCCCATGTGTATGTTTGAGTGATACAGCTCCACTGAAAGAAGCTTTGTGTGTCGGGAGGAGGAGCTAAGTATAGCCTGGGTAGTTAGTGGAAGTTACAGTCCTGTACATGCAAAATTCTAATGAAGTTTTTCCTTTGAAATCAAATTTGCTCTAAATCGTGTACTGTGATTATTAAATAAGATGAGTTTGAAATGAAAAATTGATCAGGTGACTGAATGAGCAACTAATTCCATCTTCCTTCTATTTATATGCCGACTATTATGGATTTCACTTCATTCTAATTGAAGGTATATTCAATGAGTTAACGTTTTCATTTGACCAGAAGTGTGTAGTTGAGTAAATGAATTGTGCTGTACCATTAAAAATAAATATATAGATGATGCACTGAAACTGCAATAAGTAAACTGCGAAATGGCGCATTCTAAATATTTATTAACGGGAGCATCAATGACTCAAGGTTGTTCGCTTCTGAGCTGAGAAGCATTTTGGTTTGTTTAAACTGTCATGAATCTGTTCCTGTACACAACAAAGTGAACCATGACTATAGTACCGAACCATGACTTTTTGGCCGTCGCTCATCTTACCTTGCCAGTCTTGTGGTCAAACCAGACCAGAGCGTGGTTCCTTGACAGCACTTTGCAGTCAAAGGTGGCGTTATTCTGCGCCGGTCGGCAGCGAGCCACCGACCGACCGATTTTGACGGGCTCGTCCAGGTACACATGCCTCTCCTGGAATGGGTGCGAGTTGGGTCGGCAGGCGAATACGGCAAGCGCTGAAGGCATTGATTTTGGCTTGAGAGTGTTACTCCAACCGGACACGAGGGACAGGTTTTCTTGATCCAGAGTGGCAGGCGTCGTGTTCCGATCCCCCGAATGAATAATCAACTGTATCTGGGGCTTGCGTTCAGGCGCTGTGGTTAGTCTCCTGCTTTATTTTGTGAGGGAGGGTGAGGCACTAGCTAACAAACATCGTCCGTTGCGCGCAGCTCAGGTAGAAAAACAATGCCAGTCCATGTGCATAACGACAGTCGGGTGAGGAGTGCCATGTGTCAGGACATGCATGACTGAGTATAGAAGGGACAGTCTGGCAAACAGCCCCCCACGTCCATCAAACTATTCCAGTGCTGAAGCAAGGAGAGAGGGAAGGTTGCTGCTGTGCTACAAATACAATCTTGATTACTTTCGTGTGGCGAAGATAAATCTATGGGAGGGTGGGGGGTAGTCAACGCAACGTCTTGGCGCCTGTTTTTGCAATGCAACTGCACAGATTCACTTGTTTTTTGTTTTATATATTTTTTATGTAAGTAGGGGGGTTAAGATTTGCAATTAGAACTCTTTCGAAAAAACAAGTCACCAAGCAAAAGGCAGCCACGGAACGCAGTTAGAGAATTAAGATGTTTGCCAGGTAGATGAGTTAAATCCCTTCCGTCCTCCCATTAAGTAATTCCCTTGAATTTATGTTTGGAAAAAAAAAAGACACTCACTGGTCGGGGTTAGCAGTGCAAACCACGGGGAGGGGGTTGCTAATTGGCAAGATCGCCAGTAGTAAAGTGGACAAGACAAGCGCTAACGCGGCTAGGAGGCTAGGCTCGGCAGCTAAGCTAATGAGTGCTCGCAAACTTATCAACCGGGCCCCGGAAGGCTCTCCGCGCACCCTTCTCGACCAGCTCGCTTACCAAGTGGGAACCAAATGCCATTTTAGTCGCCCTCGCAAGGCGCTAATCCCCGTCGTTCCACTACTAGCGACTCGGTGAGCTGCCTTATCTTTCACCAGCTAACCGGCTAAGTGACAGTCAGAGGAAAAAGAAAAAACAAGGGGGACTTTATTCTTCTGCGCCCCCTGTTCGGATCCACGGAAAAATCCCCGGCCCTGGCCCACAGCCCCGCGTTGTCATGCGCTGCCCTCGCTCTGGCTCGAATCTCCAACTTATTGCCGTCGCCTCAATGCAGTTTCCTGGTCGGAACGTACAAGTTGTCCTCCTCCGCGAGTTGCGGCCGCCATCGTGTAACCAGAGAGCCGACTCCTGTCGGTGCTGCGTTCATGGACACAAGACATCAACTTCCCCTGGCTGCTGACCTCATCAAATCCCGCCAAACATTTGCATAATAAGTACTATATGTTTTAAAACCAAACATCTGTGCAAAACAAAGTGTGACAGTATTTTTATGTGTATTTCATCCATATTTGAAATCATACTTGATCAGAAACTAAAGTAGCCTTCACTTAACTGTTATATTTGACACTTTATTTCACCATGCATGGTGGCTGAGTAGGATGACAAACTATCAAAAGCAATTCTCGGCCACCGTAGAGCTAAGGCTAGTTTTATTGTTTTTATGATCAAAGCAATAAGACTTCATACTTGCTGATTCATATTACATTTTGCTTGCATCAGGTGGACATCCCATCATTATTTTTGGAGGCCACCACAAAAATATCTTAAATTCATGAATATAATAAAAACACATTCTTCTCAGCTACCATAAAATTACAATTATAAATTTGACAAAATAGTTTAATTTTTAGCAAATTTTCCATTTTCTGAAATCTGTATGTTATTCAACCTCTGAAAAATTCAGCCACTAGTTTGGAAATCCCACTCGCAATCATTTTCCCAGGAGGTCCCCTTGACCAAACCTTTTAAGTGGCAGGAAAACACAACGTTTTTTATTTCGAGGCCAGAAAGTTAAAATACTCCAGTTTCATTATGTGTTGGTGCAGGAGTGATGGGTGGCAAATATCACATTCAGAACATTACAGAACTTGAATTTTGCCTCTAAGTCAATGCAAAAAAGGCATTTTTCTGGATGTATGTGAATTTTATTTTCATGACACCCTGACTGTGGATGATAAGACAAACGTACACACGTACGGACACCCTCCCCCGTAATGTTAGTGAACTGGCCGCTCGACTGAAAAATATCTGCCCACCCCCTGGAACTAACGATTCAACGAAAATTACATCAACTCAACAGCTTGCCTCAAGCAGTCTCAATTTAGACGACACACACGAATATTGATGTTAATAATGACATGACAGACTTTAAGGAGTTCAATGTGTGTCAAGTGCTGAGCGTTGACTGCTCACTTCTCCGAGCTGCCGTCTTGAAGCTTGAACACAACTCGGAACGTCCTTGCGTGATGACGTAATCAGGTCGTCATTCCCGGCTCGTCTGGAGCATCCCTGGTGGCTAAGCTAAGTGGTTTACTGCACCGCTGTTTTAGTTCTGCGGTTTTCACTAGAGAAACGACCATAAATATCAACTGTCAAGTGCAGGGAACACGAATAATTCTTCTGAGTGTCCGCGTTGGGCCAGTCGCTATGGCTTTGCAAGGCCCGGAGGAGCTGGGGGAGCCGGTGGAGGAATCGGAGGACTTGGACGACCATGACGCTACTAATATCTCGCCAGCCGAGGAGATACCGCTGCCCGTCGGGCCCGGGGGCGACGACGAGGATCCCGTGGGGAACACCGTTCTGCTGCCCTGGGACCGCTTCTCGACCTGGCTGCACTGTATCTGCGTGGTGGGCTTCGACTTGGAGCTTGGACAGGCGGTGGAGGTGAGGGAAGACCCGCTGAGGTCAGCTGGCTCATCGGAAGGAGGAGGTCCGCTGGGAAGGGTTCCAAAAGTTAGCTTTTTATTCAGGGCTCTGACTAATTCCTGGACTAGAAAACACAAACCACTTCGTTAAACTGTTTGCTCACTGCAAGAGGCAGACGGACAGATAGCGTGTTAAACACACGTTGGTCTTAAAAACAAAGAAAACTAAAACAATGAAATGAGGACTTTTATGTCAAGCAACTGCTTATTGATCAGGAAAAAAAATCAATCACTGGGCAAGATTTCCTGAAACAAGCACACATAGCTTCACTGAAAAACAAGACAAACTATTGAAATGAGGAACATACAGTATTGCTCAAGAATATGAAAATTTGACTTTCTTTTAAACTCGTAAACAGCAAGTCTCAAAACCCCTCAACACGGTCTTAAAACTCGGTTCCAGTGCATCAATGCTATATCACAGTTCTAGCACTACTTTTGTCGAAATTAGACTCTCTCCGCAACTCACCAAGGTGTCTCAAGATCAGTTTAACAGGTGAGTTTTGCAGCAAATAACAGAATAGCCCGCCCCCCCCCAAAAAAAAATAAGTAAGCAAATTTGTTAACTGCAAGGTTTCACTGTACAGGCAAAACACAATAGAGTTGCATGCCTTCAGTGTAATACCACGTTGTGCCACAACGTGGCGGGCAGCACTGAGCTACTACTGGAAGAGCTGCAGCACCTTTAAGCACTAGAAGAAGAGGCAGAGCCAGTCCTTTAATAAGCTCCATTAATTGTCGTCACAGAGAGCATTTCCACCTGTGAATAGCATAAGCTCAGTTTGTTGGTGTTGGTGCTCCGGGTGTGTTAAAGTAGCAGTTTAAAGATTTATAATGATCATAACAGCCACGCTAAATTCCATTTGCCTGTTGATGGCGTTTCACTTTATGTGTTATCAGACTGGTGGTCGTCTATCAAATGGACATTATACAGTGAGAACATTTTGTCGTTTAAAAAACATTGGGATAATTTACATTTGTTTTATGTGTCACTTTTACAATAAACTGACTGGATGTGATAAATACACAACTTAAGGGCAAGCAAGTATGCCTGCCTCTGCGCGAGTGAGAGAGAAAACAGTCCCAAACATCTGTTGTTCTGTTTTCTTGTCAGTGAAAAATATTGAAACCGTTCAATATTAAGTACTGGTATGTGTTCAATTGCTGGAACATTTGTGCATCTCAATTTAATTCAGTGGAAAATTAGTTACAATGTATTTTTCCACTCTTCTTATGTTCAAATGCATGGCCTATTGTTGTTTATTAAACATAGATATGTGTTATTAGTTCTGTCACGCAAATGTAGTTAAATTGCCATGAAGTTCCAGCGGCAGCTGTTTGACTGCTTCTTCTAAATCTGAACCCAAAGCCAACAGTGAGCTGATACTTAAGAAAGGCAAATTAGTTGTTCAGGTAGTTTTTCCATTTGTGACTGCTTCTCAAGAACACCAAAAGGACCTTGTGCTCCGTTTTGTGATGAAAGTTATGTATGACTTGAAATGTTGCTTGTGGAGGCTCTCAGTCGTACAGGAAAGTTCCATCGTAGAAAGGGTTCTGTCAGTCGTCATCTGTACCTGTGGGTAAAAAACAAAAAAACAAAAAAAAGCAAAAAAGGACGTTTCGCTTCTCTCACAGAAGCTTCGTCAGCGGTAGACAACCCTGAAGTCTCCGTGAAGACTCCGGGAAGTTGCTCTGCGCTAAAAAGCTGAGCGTGGCCTGTTTGAGGACTGGGTGGGGATGGTTAGTCACGCCCCTATTGGTTTATTAGAGGCCCATTGGTTTCTAAATT